TGTCAATTCAATACAGATTAGCAGAGGCTTGCTAATTTACAAGTACTTTTTCTACTGATGCATCACTCTGGAACTGAAACACATCACATCTCCACAAGGTTGCTGTCCAGTGGTAAAAGCATAAAATAAAAATTTCGCACTATCCCCTCAAATTTACACCAAAGGACAAAAAAAAAACAAAAACAAAAACAACGACAAAAAAAGCAACCACCCAACAAAAAACCTTCAACTCCTTTCCTTCCCCATCTCATTTCACACTGTCATACAAATGGGGTTGGAAGCACAGAACCCCAACACACCAGCCCCTCCCATTAAGTACCACTAGGATCCCGCTCCGCCTGCTCGCCTCCAGCCCTCACTAGCGGCGGGAGCTCGCCCGCTCCAATGCTGCCCCCTGCCGGCGCGGCCTCGCCACCGCCCGCCGCAGCCGCAAGATGCAGCGCGGTCGCGGCTTACAGGCGGAGGCAGCCCGGGCAAGGTGGCTGGAGCTGGTGCTCCTCCGCCAGACGGGGAGCGCCCGGACCTTCTGCCACCGAGACAAGTACTGCAACTCCGTTCAAAGCCTTCGCGTACAGGAGAGGCGGGAAAGACAGGGAGAAGGGAAGAGCTGATGTGAATTTAGCACTGACGTAACTGCGGGTCAGGATGAAAATGAGAACTGGGAATTTCTTGGAGAACAAGAGCTTTCAGATTTAGTCCTAAAATTATTTATAGAACTTCAAAGAATTAAAAGTCTGAGGCATCTGCTAAAAAATGAATGGTGATCTTGGACTAAACACAGCCTTTTTTATTTCAAGATAAAAATACTGATCTAAACAGCATATACTAGGAAAAAAAAAATAAAAGACCTCAACCTGTTATTTCACAAACTGGATCCCCACAGAACACACAACAGCAGCTTTACTTATTAAGCACATCAAACAGAAGATAGTGGAAAAGAAGTAAGTACAGGAAAGAGATGAGAAAAGATACACTAGCAAATAAAAACAGATTGTGAGAACAACAGCCATTAACATACTGCAAATGAAGCAATTATTCTGTTACAAAAGCATCCTTCCTAACACAAGTGGCTAATTTATTCATTTTCAGGAAAACAGTCACTGCCAGTAGTACCACAATTCTTCTTAACAGAAGTATTAAATATGAGGCCCAATTCTCAAAAGCAATGAAACCAGGATGGTTTTATATGATGCTGTCTTTAATTCACTTCTTACTACCCTCAGGAGAAATACTCATCCCAATTTTTACAGACGTTTTTCGCTGATACATATCTTTTCCTCATGAGAGGAGCTGAAAAGGAGAAAGTGTTCCTTCCAACTGGCTGAAGAGTTACAGCCCAAGTTTAAGAGACATGCTCCTAATTTATTAGATACACTAAACTCTGCAATGCTCCTTCTCCAAAGATGCAGGATTTCTTCTACTCCGTAATGGTTGGTTACTTTATGTTCTTGCACGGGGATGCAGAAAAACACAATCAGAAACCCCAGAACCCCCAGATTGACAGGTCTTCTTCTAAAACTGGCAGCTACAAACGCAGTCAGGCCTGCGGCAGCTGCAGAACAAGTCCTTTGAAGTGAACATAGCTTAGATTGAAACTGCTATGAAGAAAGGAAACAGCAGAGGATTCTTTTTATGATATAAAGCTTCTCCTCACAAATATTCACCTTCTACTACGTGGACAGAAAGCAAGCCTCTTCTTTTGGTTAATTAGCAGTTGTTCTTTGCAGAACACCTCAAAGGCCTCACTTGAGCAACGTCACGGCTTGTGCTCAACATGAAACTGTCAGTTCTGGTCTGCCTGCACAGCTATTGCTCACACTGAGCTTGGGAGTGGATCCCTATTATAAAGTAATTGCTAAGCAAGTGTGTAACAAAAGATCAAACTGCTACTGAAAAGATTTGGCAAAGCCACAGCAGTATGTTAGATGAAAACTGGATCAGCCTGCCAGCACTAAGATAACATGCTCATGCCTCACATGACAGCATCTTCTCTACCCATTACCTGTGTTACCAGCGGGATATCTCTTTTGTTTGGTTGTTTTTTAAAGGCCTTATCTGCACATATGACTCCTGCAACTTTCAAAGAAACAAATCAGATCTAACACAGACTACTTAAGAGTGCATCAGAGTTGAGGTCTGTTTCATCTTCTGGTTATATTCTGTAACATAACTATTCTGTAGCATTCTACTGCCACTGGTGTATAAAAGGAAAAGAGAAAAAGGTATCAAGCTAACATTGAGAGAAGAATAAAACAAAGAGGAAATGAGTCATAAAAGAATGAGGCCAAGAGACTATATCAAATATTAAACCAGCAAGACCTCTGCAAATTATCTTTTAGGAAAAAATGTAACTCGAATGCAATATAGAAAAAAGGGAAAGACTTCAGATTCTACATAGATTTTGTCAGAATAAAAAGAGATCTGCACACTAGATAACCAATGTAAAACATCGATATTTGTATTAGTGGCATGCATTTGTGATCTATCAGATACTTCCTTGATAAACGCTTCTTGCAAACCCCTGAACAGGCACAAGTTCAACTCTGCATGACTTTTTCTCCCCCCTCTTCCCAAAGACTCTTAAGAGAACTAGGCATGAACAAGATTATTCATTACTAATTTGGAAGGATTATTTGATTTTTAAAATGCTTGGACTAGTTATCTCCCAAAGACAGCAAAAACAATAAAACAGGCTGTGCTAGTCCCATCTTTCCCAAATTATTTTACTTTACCAAAAGGCATAGAATGGTTTTACTAAGACTGAATTCACATTCTTTCATTCATGGGTTATATTGACATGAACGTGGAACAATCTGGGAGGTATCTGTTCAAAGGTCCCATAATTCGTCAACTGTTCTGACTTCTTAATACCCAAACAGATACATGTAATGCTTATAATATTCCTTACATAAAACCAGAGTAATTGCTTTTTGCAGAGCAGGGTCTCCAAAACTGCATTTTTAAAAGCATTATCATTTTTAATAAATTCACTTCAAGCGATAGGTTTTAAATCTGTTGTAGCGAAACGGATCTGTCATACCAAGAGATACTAATCTCTGAATTCTGCTTAAAGAATTTATTAAGCACTCCACATCACTATCTAGAGAGCTATGCTACAGTTTTCCAGCACTTTTCCATGAAGTCCATACTTTCCTCTCTATCAAAAACACATTCTCCATAAACTCTTTCAAAGTGGGAACAAGAAACTGAGAACCAAAGTACTTTTTTTGAAACTTGTATCTCAGTGTAGTGCAACGAGTAACTTACTGTTTTTTACAAGACCACTTAAACTGGTCACATACGTTACAGACATGAGGCAGTATTCCACAAGTGGCTGCTGTGTGCTTCCATTCCTAGACGTACATGTTCAAAGACTGTCTCAAGCTAAAGGAGAACTATTTAGCTATTAAAAGCCAGAATGCTCCATTCCCTTCCAATTTTACAGATTTAAGTTGACTGGAATTGCTGTGATAATGTAATAAAGCTCTCATTAAATATCAGAGCATTTCACAAGGATAATATTCCACTCCATGTATGAGTGCCAGTTTCTTCAACACTGCTTCCATGTGTCCAATTCAGCAGTGTCAGACACCTAAAAAACCCTCATATACTGGCACCCAACTAACTCAAAAATAAAAACTGAAAATCCCAACCAGTCACTTCCAGCTTCAGAACAGTAAAGTTAACCAAAACCTATTTTTCCTTCTAATCATCCACAAATTAGAAACCCACACAAATAAGTTTCCACTATGGCTCTTGACTGGCAAAATGTCTGTTATTGGCCAAAAGATTTTTGTTTTCCTTTTCCCTTTAAAACAACAACAACAAAAAAACCCCAAACAAACCCCAAAAATCCCAACCAAACTTAGTGTCACTAAATACTGTTCTTGACTGGCAAAATGTTTGCTATTTGCCAAAAGATTTTTTTCTTTTCCCTTAAAAAAAACAACAAACAAACAAAAAATCAAAACCAAACCTAGTGTCACTAAGTACTGTTCTAAAATAAGGAGTCTCAAAATCAGCTTAAGATACATATACCATTAGTCCTAACACACACTGTATGGATAAAAATACAGTATGAAAATAAAATTGGAGATAAATACAATAATATAATTGTGTGGAATAGCAATAATAACATTAAATATTTCATAATGATATGAAATACTATACTAAACCGTGTGTAAACTGCTACCCACTAACTTGTTCTTTGATTTGACCAACAGTAAACAACAAGGTAGACAATGATCTGCAGAAATTTATGGGTTGAAAAATATTTTAGCCCTGGTACACCAGATTATTTCAAACCTTTTTTTTTTTTCCTCCTCTTAGAAGACTGTATCATGAAACATAAAAGATGCAACAGAAATGGAAGTGCAATGCTAAATAAATTCTACAGAACAAGCACATCTTCTTTACATGTTCCCAATAGGTGGCAACAGAATACCAAAAATACAAAGTAGTTTATAATTCTTTCTTCCTCCAAAGTAATGGAAGCCCTGTTACAACTATTAATGAACTTGCACCAACAGTTTTATTCAAATGTATCACTGCATCTCAGCAACAGAAATTGTCAGGACAGGTAATGCCAAAAGCCAGAGGATTCACAGAACAGAAACAAAGCATTTATTAAAAAGCTAGTTGCTACGAAACAACTGATGGCTTATACTCAGAGCTTATCTATTGCAAATTTACAGTAACAAAACATTTTTGCCATTAAAGAAGGAATTATAAGGAAAAAAGATGGACTAATTTTTGTTGTTGACATCTGCACCTTGGTCTTTAGCAGTATTTCTTTACAAGTCTAAATAAAGGGATGAGCATTTTTAAACGAAGTCCTAGCTGACAAACCCCAATGTCATCATAGTAGCAGGTCCATACTAATTCCCCGATTCTTTGCAAGAAATATCAGGAAATCAGTGTTCTCTCCTTGACAGCTATACCACTATTCTGTTTCTGTGGCGCAGAGCTATACAAATCAAGTCTAAAGAGTAACTACTTACTTGCTTTCAAATCCGGTTATGTTGCGGTCCAAAGAAATAGTCTCTCTTGTAATTTCCACCTTTCTCACACTGCCAAAGAAGTCTGTTATCAGAACATTTTGAGGGTCTCGCCGAAAGAGATCAGTTCGGTGCCCAGGTGTGGAAACGCACAAGCTTTTTGGACAGACCTGAAACTGGAAACCAAGATGGACAATCATATCCTGTTCCTCATTCATCACTAGTCTCCACATATACTTTCCAAAATTAAATCGCTGAACTTGCGTTAATTTCAGTACAAGCTCCACAGTTTAAAAAAATGATTGAACAAAAACATTGAAAGGCATAAACATCTTGATTGTGCATTTCAGAAAACCTTTATCCTCACGGTTACGCTGCCTGAGTTAACAATGCTTCTGAGAAAGTCAACCATCAATTTCATCTAACTGATTAAATGCACAAATTACTTTTGATACAGATGCAGCAGTGCTGCTATAACCTTCCAAAAAGCACAAGCAGGTATAAATTCTTCCTATTGACCAGAGAGGCATGCAAGAGTAAACAAGCTTTGACAAGTAAGTAACAGTACAGGCTTTGTAAAAAAGCAAGAATTTACGTTTTGATCAAAAAGTCTTATTTCTAGTTTATAGACTGAAAATTAATGCAGAATTAGGATCTTCAAATATCAAAGGTGTTCTGTGTACATGAAGTTCACAGAGTCATCCTGTAAAACCTATAATTTACCTATATACTTTATTTCTTTTACCTATCTATTTTTTCTGTATATCAGATCCCCTCTATCTAACACACATTACAACACATGGAAGACAGAAACAGCACAAATAAACTGTTTTTAATGGACTCAATTCTGTATAAAGTTACACTTGAAAAAAATAAGAAGGCGTAACAGTGACAGATTTGTTGTGGCATTTTGATATCTAAGAAGACAGCATGCCTATTAAATAATAAGATTGTTATGTACCCAGCAGATATTCAAGGCAACACCAAGGCATTTTGGACACAATACCACACTCGTCATGAAAGTCTCTAATATTTCCCATCTGGAGAGATTGCTATTTCAAGGGATCTTGTAATGCACATAATGTAATAAATAATATCTAGTTCATATTTTTATTAATAATGCTACCTAGCTTACAGTGCCATGAAATGCAGACCAAGGCCTCACTCTCTGACCTCCCTGATGAGCTTGGAAAGTTGAGTTCATGTCTCAGTCATTAGAAGGCACTTCACAGTGAAATTCAGAACTCTAATAGAGAGAGGAACTAGACACAACCCTGTTAGGTAGAGGCACTTGCTCTACAGTGCTCTGGACAGTTTCATGAGCAAATGTTGCTGTCCATTCAACAACAGCCCGCAGACCACCTAGTAACAGTGTAGGTTATGTGAGCCCTCACACATTCCAGCAACACAGAACATTCAACATAACAGATTCATGCACGGGACTAGAAAGGCCACTTTCCATATGAGTGCTCATCTTCCTTAATATTAAATTCTCTGAGCGATTTTCAAACCAAGTCCATCAGTCATTGGATCTAGAGTTCATATACCTAATCACAGATCAGCTCTTAAAACACTGCATTCTTAGGACAAAATCACGCATCCTAATTAACTCAGTGCAGATGCAACCTCAGTTACCACGGATTATGTCTGACAAAACCTGGAGTCTTAGCCCATACCTCCTGCAGAAATTCTGTGCTCAGCCTGACACAAAACACATGGGCTTCTATGGCTCCTCCTTTTAGGTCAACAGCGCCCTACATTTAAAAAGCTTCCCAGAGAGGAAACAGTGTACCTGGCTTTTCTTCATAGAGGACAGATTCTATCTTCCCATTCCCCACTTCTGCTCCATTACAGTTTCTCTTCCACACCTTTTTTGTCTAAGCCTCTAAATATACAGCATTAGGCTGCTGCCTGATGCCCAGCTCACTTTCAACCTTTACCTTAAGAGAAGCACACAAGCACACATATCCACCAAGCTGGTTTTTAATGAGTCCCAACTTTCCTATTGGCAGAGTACCACACAGCTGCTGAAGAAAAGACAGGGGCAGAGCAAATCTTTTTATTATACTCCCTGTGAAGTGAAAATGAACTAGACTCATCACGTTCCCATACAAAGCCACCTGTCAATGCACACAAAACCCTCTTAAGTTTCAGTTTCAAGAAAAAGCCATCAATTTTCTTCATTTCTGCTGCAACTAAGGGCACAAACATAAAAACTAAGTCTCTGAAGTAAGCTATAAAAGCTAAGTACTTGTTTTAATCCCATTACTTGATGCATAAATCTATGCTGCAGTTATATAATTAGTCTCTCTACCAAGCTCTAGAGTGTAAATCTCCCAAAACAACTGCATCAGCACTGAAACTGGGAAACTGATACTCCACACAACTACTTCTAACGTGTCCCACAACAATTTACTACTATTAGATGTCAAGATGAATCAAACAAAAATAGGCAATGGCACTGAGAAAATAATTTCAGTATGAAAAAAAATCTACCTATCCAGTACTGGTGTGAAAAAAGAAGGACTTCAAAGCAATTAGACCAAAGCAGAGTAACTCTAATAACTAAGGTCTTCTGACAAAAGAAAAAGCAAACATTGGCTAAAGGAAACACATTTGTTCACGTATCCATTTTCTTAATTTTTTTTAAATAAGATACTAGTCAAATAAAGCTAAACAATTCCCAAAAATGGGAACTTTATCTTTTCTTAACAACATTTTTAGCTCTTTTATGCGAAATGATACCTCATTTAGAAACATATTTGAGACTTATTTTAAAACTTCAAATGTGTGACATTTTAATTTAGTCTTTATTTTTTTGAATTGTGATCAAACTGAAAGTCAGTCAATTGCACAGCTTTATGTTATCCCTTAGCAACACAGACAGAGCAGGTGGGGAGTAGGTGGAGTGGATCATGAAAAAAGATGCCTCATTCTTTGCAGGAATGCAAATATCCAGACCTTAGGTGGATGTGAAGAAGCTGTTTTAAGAGTGGCTGGAGAAAAGTACAGAGATGATGGAATAGAAGCAGTGTAGCAAATACACAGTTCCTCCAAAAGAGCAGACATTTACATATCAGAAGATCAAACAACTAAACATTAGGTAATGATTTTAAAGCTGGTTAATGAGCCACTTAAAATGTTGTCCTGAGTTTGGAAAGCATTAGTTAAAAAAAAAAATGAGACTGGGATAAAAAGTAGGTCTTTGTTCTTAAACCAACACAACTGTAATAAAGCATTCTAGTTCTAAAGTACATCCTATAACTGTTGGCAAATAAATGGGTTTATATCCTTACCATGGACTAACCGTATGCCATTTCAGAACTCTTAGATAAAGCCCTGAAAAGCACCAACTTGAAATAAAGTGGTCACATTTGCTGAAATACCTATTGTGACTCATTACATGATCCCCAAAAATCATTATATATTTCAGTCCATTTTCTTCCCTTCCCAGACCAACAATAAGCACATCAGCGCATATGATGACTTTGAGGATGTAAGGAATTTACCAATATGGGTTAACTTCCCACAGCTCTTCCTGAGAATTTGGCATATAAGCAAAAAACACAAGTGAGAATGTTTAAACATCTCCAAAGAGCTGAAAAGGTAAACTACTTGGCCAGCTATCAAGTTTTCTACACTTTCTACAACAACTGGATTAGTATCTAGCTAGCTAGAGTAGTTATGCCACTTACCAGATGGTCTCTTACACAGTAGAAACCACTGTTCATTTGCTATGACTTCTTTTAAACAGCAATTAATTTTTTGGTTTACAGAATAGTTCTAAAGTGCTGTTTGAATAAATTGGCTAGAAAAAGATACAATCAATAAAGGACTTGCATATTCTTGTTTAACAAGATTTATTTTAAAATCATCTGTATCCCATGGTCAGAAGGTATTAAATTACAGGACAGAATTTCAATCCCATGATAGTAAAAGAACCTTGAATCTTAGTCACTGAATCAATTCTGTAAGAACATAAAATCTGTCAAGTGTAGGCTGTTTACAGTGAATTCTACTACACATCTAGCAGCCAGGCTAACACCATCCTCTGTAGACAGAGGGTGGCGTAAAACTTTCAAGCAGCTGCTCCTTTTACAGAAATGAATTAAAGACAATGTGTTCTGTAAGTAGCAGCTCTTGGATCACTGACAGAGTATGTCAGGATTTACAGCTACATGGCACCAAAGCATAATGTATTACTTTAGTGAAGGTATAAAGGGTTAATAAATAAAATACACTTACATTTTATATCATCTCACATCTAACTTACAGAGGCATTTTCATAAATTTTGCCACAGGTTATCTGCTTGGCTGGGTTTTTTTTCCTCCTCTCTCATACCCATAAAGCTATAATTAATATTTACCTAAGATATAATTAACTCCAAACACTGATGTATTTTGACGTATCTTGCTCTGGAATCTAAGCGGATATACAGAGCAATTAGTCCCTGCAGGCATTTGTGAGTGCACCATTAGAATTTTAAATGTTTAATCTCTTTGCAAAACAATCAGTGTCTGCTTTTCCATATCTGTAAAGTGTCTACTACCCATCAAGCTGATTTTAGAAGCTTCCTACTATCATTTTTCATGTGCAAATTTTCATCCTATCGAAATGAATATTTAATGAATAATATATTAATTTCTCAATGAATAGTAAAAAAATCTAGCTAATTTTGGTTAATCCCTTTCAGTAGCCAGCAAACCACTCTCACATTGAGGACAAGTGTTACACCATCATTACATTTAATAATGGCAAAAAGACCCTCTCCCCAAAGCTGCTTCCAAGAGAAACAGCAGGAGAACAAAAAGCATTTGGAGAACCCTACAGAAAACAGTTCTGAAACTGTTACAATCATTAGCATATTCATGAATGTTCAATATTCTACTTACTAGGTCATTCATATTTGTCTGACTGGCTGGATGAATTTCTTCCAAGAACTCTAGCACATAGAATGTGTATCTGTCCATGAGATGAACGCCAATCGCAAGATCAGGTTGATGCTTAAAAACAACACACAGCAATTATTGGGCATTTGCAGGAAAGAACTCAGTATTTAGATAGCGAACAGAATGTAATAGCATGTTACAAAAGTTAAGCATAACAATTTTTTGTTCTTCAGCAAATTACACAAAGAAAATGACCACCCATAAAGAAATATATTGTTGACAAGCTGAATAATACAGTTTATCTTAGTTTTTCTACACTGTATCCTGGTAATCTCCACATCTGCGAAAAAGCAGGGAACCCCTTTTTCTTGATGGTTCAGTAAAGCGTTGTGGGCTGCCCTATGCTTCTCAGAACTTGGAAAACAGGACTGGGAGAGACAGCTTATCTTACAGATTTGCACAGGTTCAGAGCTAGGCTCTGCACAGATTCAGGTCTGCATAGGTTCAAACCCTGACCTGATGGTTTTGGTCTGGCTAGGATCTCTCTCCTATCACTCTGTCTGTACTTCAGCTGGGATACAACTACAGCAGATGAAAGGTAGTGGTCTGGGGGTTTTTTGTATATAGAATAGTTTGGGTTGGAAGGGACCTTCAAAGGTCATCCAGTCCAACATCCCGGCAATGAACAGGGACAGCTTTATCTAGATCACATTGCCCAGAACCACACCCAACCCGGCCTTGAATATCTCCAGGAACTGCACACCCACCACCTCTCTGGGCAGCCTGGGAGAGTGTTTTACCACCGTCATTGTAAAAATTCTTTTCCCCACATGCAGCCTGAATCTCCCCTCTTTTAGTTTAAAACCATTACCCCTTGTCCCATCACAACAGGCCCTGCTAAGAAGTCTCTCCAGCACCTTATTGGCCCCTCTTAAGTACGGAAAGGCTGCAATAAGGTCTCCCCGGAGTCTTGTCCAGGCTGAACAGCCACATTTCACTCAGCCATTCCTCACAGGTGAAGTGCTCTATGCCTCTGGTCTTTTTGCTGCCCTTCTCTGGACCCTCTCTAATAGGTTCATCAAGTGTTAGAAGTCCTAGGTTGAATAATCCCCACACATATCTCTCAGCAATCTTCCCATAAAATTTCTTCTTATCCTAGGCTATGCATAAATTGGCCAACAAGCACAGAAATCCATTATTAGTCTGACTCTTTGGGACAGCACATAAAAACAAGCAGAAAAAGTGCAATTACAAGTTTTGTCAAAACCTCACTTTGTAACTAAATATCTCATGCATTCAGCAATTAGAAGGGAAATTTTTAATTTAAAAACAATAGGACCCGTGCTTTTTACTCAGGCATTTTGAAAGCTGTCTTCAGGATCACAAAAATCTACTTACTGATAAAGAATCTTCCCCTACTTGGCTGCTAGCCAAGGCCATTATATTAGGTGAATAGAATCGTTCATACATGGATGCTCCTTGGCAAGTATCAATAATAAACAACAATTCATTGTACCTGAAAAAAAATAGAACAGCCTCTTTATCCATCTCCCCTTAAGCAATATTCACATACTTTGCTTTTTAGTTACCAGGGCAGCTGCTAGGAACCCAAGGAACAGAAGAGTTTATACTGATTCATTTAAGATGCAAGGTTAGTCAAAGCACAGTTCATTTGAGCAGCTGTAACTGCAGGAAGCTGCAAACAAAAATTAAAACTCTTCTTTCTGAATGCAAACTTTCATGCAATTTTATGGACAACAGACAGTATCACTGCCAAAGGTAAGCAAGGCCTACTGGTAAGACTTCGGGCATGTTCAGGAAACACAATATTTAACCTCTAAATAATGCTTTTTTCCTCACCTTCTTTTCTGCCACATTTGTTCAAAGGCATCAGCCAGTTCCACATTTGTGATTTCTTCAGAATCCTGGAATTTTAGGAAACCATTTCCACCATGGCCTGGCAGAAAAAAAAAATATCAGAAGTTATGCAAGATGGTAGCTTAGAGGAAGATACTCAGTCTGGTTCACCATTCCTCTAAACAAAATAAAAAAGGCAAACACAATTATCCTTCTCCAGACTCCAGCAAAAGAAAGTTATTAGTACAGTGAGAACAGTATACATACATCATTTAAGATAGAAACTATACTTACTGCCATATAGGTTTTTTCTTACTTAGTATTACATGCTAAAAAAGGGAAAAAAAAATCCTTTTGTCAATCATTTTGTTTGTTTGGACTTCTAATGGGATTTTATGCTTTAAACAGGCCCATCCAAGTGAACAATATCAATAAGTTGTATACAGAAACCTGTAATTACCTGTCATATATATTAGAATATTGCTTCTATCATCAGAAAGAAGACGTTTAGATCGCGGTGTGCTTGGTGGGATTCTTCCTGTTAATACACGCAAAAAATTTTCAACAGTAACCTATGAATAGAAGCACAAATTAATTTTCTAAAGAGAAAAATATCAATTAACAACTATAGCCTGTGTTACATTAAGTAATGGAACACTAAAAGGGGCAGTGTGTATACCCAAAAGTAATACTTCACAGTATAAACTGTATAAACAATCATTTTCTGTTTAAGGTTTTACTGCAGTTTCATAATCATATGGTGCCTTTTACTTTATTCCACTAACATCACCCTGTTGCTTTATTACACCAAATAAGGCTAATGCCATTATAATTTCTTAATACATTTTCATTCATCTGAAAACCTGTCAGTGTATAGCTTTATTTTGTCAAAGCTGTTCATGTACTCAAAACATGCTCCAACATTAGTGTGTGTTACCATGGAAAAATAAATTTAAATTCCCTCTGCAACACAGAAAAGGAAAAATAAGATCAATTTCAGCTACGTAAGTCTGAGATCAGGTAAGACCCATCTGGATGGTGACTGTAAAACATTCTATAAAACACCACTTCCTCTTCATGCAGACGTACACAGCTCAAATGCTAGCAAAAAATCCATACTCAGGAAAAAACATGATGAAAAGAACATATCTCTGTTTCACTGTTGTATCTTCAGTTCTTTATAAAAAGCTCCAGAGAAATAAAACATCTACTATATACTTAAGTCTCCCCCTATAAACCATTAGTAATGATTATGCAGCACTATTAAAACCATGCAACTGATGTCCAATTTAAGATTAACTGTAAAGACACTGTATGAAGGAATATTACACAAAAATGAAAAGATGGTAGAATGCAGATTTCTTTACAGTAATTACTTTACAGTAATGTATAAACTACAGCTTTTGTGTATTTTGATAAAAACATATACTTAACGTTAAAAATGTAAGTAGATATGCCAAGTAAACATTTCACTTGCACACCAGAAATTTCACAGTGGTGGAGTTTGCAAGATGAGACATTGAACAACCATTTCCAAAGAGAAATGCAAGTAATATTTGGATTCCTACCACGTACAAGGGGTTCCATATATTTATTTAATTGTGGGAATTTCATTACCTGAATTATAACATGATTCTACTATAATAAACTTTAAATACAATAAAACAAGTATCAAAGAGAGGAGGGGTGTGGTTTTTAAACCCATTAGTTGATAATAAAAGCCTAGCTCAAAACCAGAAATGTGCCTAGAAAGACTTCCTCAGACTTCACAGGTGTTGTATAGATCTTTAAACCAACACTAAAGCCAAAGACCCAGTGATTTAATTTAAGTGCAGTCACCTCATAGCTTCTGTAATCCACTTCCACATCATCACCATAGACATTTAGTTCCATGTTTTTATGACTAAACACAGTAGCTGGTTTGGGATTTCTGGGATTACATGCCATGTCATCTGCCAGCATCAGGACAATGTGACTACGGAAAATAAGACAAAAATATTTCAGCCATTCTACTTTCATGTAACAGTCAAACAGAAATTACAACAAAACTGCCCCACAATTACAACAATAGCTTACAACACTAAGAAGATTAATGGGATTATAAGTGAGACTTTGCTTACTTACACCCTATTTCCTTATGTACACCCTCACTATTATGAAGATACCACACACAGAAATTCAGCTACCTCTTATATAGCTATAGGATTAAGTTAGACCAAAGATGAACACAAGAGTAGTTGATATTAGCAGCTTTATGACACACACACCCAGAATTAGACTGGCAGAACTATTCATAAAAAAATATGATTTTTATGGGGCACTAAATCATTTAATGCTGCTCCACAGAAGAAATCCCAGCCTGTTTGCACCTTTTCAGATCATTTAAAAATATTATGACAATTTTTAACTAAATTTGAGGAGCTCATGAACATTTCTCAAACCATTATACTGCATCTGATGCACTACTGTATGACTATCTGTGTTACTGGAATTTTGCTGAAGAACACAGATGGGCTGACACCAGACATTTTGTCTTCTTCATAGTTCAAAAAAGAAATAAAGAAATTAAAAAAAATAAAAACCCAACAACCCAACATTTCATATTACCAATTAAAAAAAATCCCAGACAATCAGCATATTATAAAACTGTTCCAACTTGCATGCAGCCAAAGACCTCTATTACCCATAACAGGGCCATGTTTGGGTCAAAATATGAAACAAGAGGTCACTGGAGACTGTTACCACTGGAAGAATGTGCCAGAGATGCCTGGAACAAGGTGAAGTTGGTTCTTTCCTTGGATAACCCTGTCTTGGATATAGCTTCTCAGAGACTGTGCTCTCCCAAACAATGCTTACAAAAGGAAAGCTCTGTATCCTGCAAAGAATACTGCTAATTCAGACTCTCAGGCACACAGCTATAAATTAAACTGTGTTGTGCTATTTAAGCGTCATTCCTGTGCTTGTCATCATTCACCTATATGCCTGCATGAGCACTTTAAGAATAATGTTATTCTTTATTAGTGCTAATAGGCCCCACACCCCACCAAAAAAAGGAAGTGGAGAGAGGTGGAAGAAAAATAGAAATGTTGTCCAAAATAATATAGAGCATAAATCCTCAGAAATAATCACAGTAAATTATTTCAATGGGAATAAAGGTGTAATGATAGAAGTAAGAGGAGAGCTACAGAGGAGAAATAAAGAGATTTTTTTTTTCTCCACACATGCACAGCAGTACAAAACTGTTTTTATAAAAGAGAAATATATGCAGAATATATTCCTTGCAGATTTACTGCAGTAGTCAGAAGAGAATATTCCACACTAAGCCACCACTAGGCCTACAGTTTAGCACTGTATTTTTGCTAGGAATGTGTTTATTCAAAAAGAGGAATTAGTAATCACATGCACTCAGGAAAAGGTTCTGATTGGTAGTAGTACAGACAGGTGAGCACAAACATGCGAGTTTATATATCGCATGGCATTCATATACATGCACACGGAACACAACACAGTTAAAGAGAACCACTGCATAGAAGTGGTTCATAGATGCAGCAAAACAATAAAGATGTTAACTCATAGCTTAACAGTTAAACCAAAGTAACCTAATTATATACTATAGTAATATTTTCATGATACGAGACTTATATTGCATAATGATTCCAGGACTCAGAAACAATTTTTTAATTCATTTTCTCTTTGTTTTACTTTAGCAAAACTTTTCTTTTACAAATTAGAGCATTGTGCCCACATGTCAACAAACCAGAGTACTTTACAGTTATAAAACCACAAATCATTTTCCTAACGAGTTCTGTTGTTGGAGGATAAATCTACTTACACTGCCAAACTGACATGGTTCTATTCAAAATGAGGCTATGCACAAACCCCTCCAAAGAACCCAAGCCAAACCCATGATAAATAAAAAAGAAAAATAGAGGAAGAAATTTGTCTAAGGGAGAAATCCACAGAAACCCACGTCAAAACTGCTGTAAATGGGGGAAAAAATAGGCATGCTCTCTCTTTAGGTCTTCTCCAATGTGTTATTTCTTGATCTTAGTCTAACACATTGCTGGGTTTTTGAGATCAATTTCAAGATCCTTGGGTATGGCTAAGAAACAGATCAGGCTACTGAACAACAGAAGTCTTCAGATATGCTGTAGATTTTGCAGTATTTCTAAAACTGCCACTTATTTTGACATTAATGGCCAAACTGGATGGATGCAGAGAACACAGAAGTTCTCAGGTAAGGGCAAAACTAGTGAAAGAATTCCTAAGGTGGTATACATAGGGTACCCACTCTTCCAAGGCTATACAGGTATACAGGAAAGAAGACAGATGCTTCCGAATACAACCTGCAAAAAAAGAAAAAAGCTGTATTTCTGTGGCTTTCAGCCCACAGTGCTTCAGCAGTATGTTGCCTTGGATTTACAGCCCCCAAACACTTCCAAAAGCTAGATTTCAACATCCCAACTTTCAAAACCCAAGAACTCACTTTTTCTTTTTAAAAATAAACACAGGTAACAGGATGATACTGCATCACAGTCACAGTTGAGTGGAAACTAGCTCGGGACTCCAGGTACCACAGTTTGGATGTTGACAAAAAAATGCCAAACTCAATCCAGTAAAACATGTATTTTGCAATGATTAAGCTGTTCATACTTCTTTACGCAGACATACTGAAGAAAGTACCAGTCCCCTAAACAAACATGAAAAATCAGAACCACTAGGATTTCCACAGAAGCCTATGGATATAGCCTATTATGTTGGTGCACAATTCTGGTACGAGTAAATTGCATTCCAAAACAGTTGATGGAACTGTGCCAACTTCCATTGAGAACACAACTAAGGCACTTCAGAACAGTTTGTTCACCTTCCTCATCCTATTGTCAAAGAAGGGATACTGCTTTGACTATTGTGTTATCGCTAAGAAGCACAACTGGTATGGACAAAACTTCTGGTTTCTCTAAAAGCATAATGTAAAATGGATTTTTCAAGGCTACTTTTAATATGTAGCAGCAGCTTTGTTCAGGCTTCTAGAGACTCTCAATGTAGCTGTAGATGTGGAAGTCTTATGCTTCAGTTCAGTTATGGTTACTTACATCTCCAAGCTGAAAGTACAGCAAAAGCCGTATCTCAGAGTAGTACTGTCACTGCTGATGCATTTATAAATCTTCTCATTATGCTTTCACGAGTTTTCTAAGTGGCATATTTTAGTGGCCAGATAGCTCCTCATATTTTTAATCTAACTAACCTATTCCAACTGGTATATAACTTGTGACTACTTTTTTTGAACAATATTGCCACACTTTTCAATACACTGATGTAATCACATCCCTCCTTTTTACTTTTAGCCAGTTAAACTGGGAAGAGAAATGTATTTTTAAACTGCTTCAGACAATAAGGTGAGCTTTAGTAGTATATTTGTAAGGAACAGTATTCCCCAATATTCCCTCACCTATCGGGAATGCCCAGTCTCTTGACACTTCTGTATACTGAGAGAGTATTTGCCACATGACGATAATTGAACCAGAATCGAGATGTACAGACCTTGGGAAAAGAAGGAAAAAAAATATCATACTAAATACTGTAAAAGATAAAAATAGCCTGGCACATTGCATCAGAAGACTGTGATTACAGAAATATCAACAAACTAGTAACAAATCAGAAAGAACATCGCAGCACCAAAAACCTCATGACATAAGCTGTAGAAGTCTTTGTTGTAACAAAGTAGCAAATGCTGAAAATAAAAGCTTAAAAATTAGTTCTTAACATACTGACTCACAAAAAAATTGTCATAAAACCCAACGAAGTACAGAAAGTGGCACTTTAGGGAATAATTCAGCAATAGTAAGTGGGTAAGCTAAATTTTCTTCATTTGCTTTCTCTGTATCAAAGAGAAATCAAAGAAGAGTTCTCATCTCAATATCAAACCCGTTCTGGGATCATTCTTGCACAAAGGCATAAGTGAATTCATGCAGAAGCCACACACAGGGGACATTTGAGGACATTTGCATTTAAGGAGTCAAAGATAATAAAGTAAGAGCTAAGTGAGCTCTAACCAAAATCTGAATACAAATTCTCATAAATTTCAAAGGAGTCCAGTTTTTTCTGTCCTAACAGGCAAAGTGTTGGGGATCAGCCATTCCTGCACTTAAACTAATCCCTAGGTCAGGTATTATTTAATCTGTCCTCAAAAACCTTAAACAAATGAGATTTCAAAAAGCTTCAGAGGCAATCTGATGTAGTTCCTTACTAAAACCTTATCATTGTCCTTGTGCTTAACTTTTATTCACTTTTCGTTTGTTCCACACCAAGGACTGAAATCCTGCTCCAGAGACAAATTTCCTTCATTTTTACAAGTCTTTCAAACACAGAAAGGAAGAAGCATGTTAGAAGAGGTAACTTTAAAAACACAAAAATAGAGAAGCAGTAACAAGCATTTAAACAGGTCTTTTAATTTTTCAGCTTTAAATGTAAAGCTCTAATTTAATCATAGATTTATTGAATGACCTGGGTTGGAACAGACCTTAAAGATCACCTAGTTCCAACCCCCTGCCATGGGCAGAGACACCTTCCACTAGACCAGGTTGCTCAAAGGCCCATCCAACCTGGCCTTGAATAGAAAAACACAGATAAAATATCTGTTTCTTAAATAGAAACATCTGTAAAATACAAGATGTAACATTTCCGTCTCTAGCCTTTGCGTAAAAAGAAATGAGTAGTAGCTTGAACGATAATAAAAATTCAGCCTAATAGGATCCCTTTGTGTCTCAATCATGCTGTCAGTCAGGAAAAAAAGCCTATGGGAATCAGCCCTTGAGAATATTTGCCTTTCAGCAAGATTTAAAGCTCTGAAAACTAACTGTGGCCTACTTAGCTATGACGTTTCAAGGTATTAGCACCTGCCCCTTTCCTCTATTACCTCTCTTACAATACAGTGGAAAATGTTCCTATGCTTTAAATATAGCTCTTCACACTGCGGCATATTAATTCCAACTACTGATGAAGGAGGACTGCAATACAATGCCTGGCTTGAAGTGCCTGATAGCTGTAAAACCCTCCCTCTTTTACTGCTTCAAAAAGTAGTAGCAATTGTTACAAAGCTTACCTATGAACTACTGAAAAGATATAACCAGCAGAGAATCTGTTGAGAACAGAAAATATAACTCCTTGGACCTAATTTTCCACCTTCTTTGCATGTTTTTATGGAGCATAAAAGCACCTACTTGTTAACAGTACTAGAGTAGTACTTGATATTTTAATAGTTTTGAGTTAGTTCATTGTAGAATATATAAATTATTCCTTCTAATTTAATTAATTACTGTTAACTTTTATATTGCTCAGTTTTAGTATCTGGAAAACAAACAGCTGCTACTGAGTAATTACAATCATGTTCTGAAACAAATTAGTCATTAGGACCCAAATTGTGATTAAGAACCAATTGTGAAGCATGATCCAAAGCTAATAAAAGCTTCATGACAAAGAAAAAAAAAAAGGCATAAGAACAGTTGATCTAAACATCATGCTGCCTGAATTTATTTTATTCTAAGCCTGTTACCACAAGTCAACAGGTTAAGTATGAACAAGAATCAGAAATTGTGACTTTCTGGTCCAAGAGATACGATTCTCTGATACCAGAATTATACTTCTGTTCAATAAGCTGTATGGTAATTTAACTGGTTTAATGCTGTCAGAGCTTTTGTTTTACAAATCCTGCCACGTAGCTAGACATTCTGAGTGCCTGAAATGTAGTCATACTGAAAAGATAATTTTATTACAGTGTAATAAATTTGCAGGCACAATTTCAAATTTATTAATTCCCAAGTCTTTAGCTTTCCATTTCTTTCAAATGAACAGAATTCTTGAGTGACTGTTGCTCTTATGGCTTCTGTTGAAAAGTTGTCAACTTTATTGGAAGAAAACTACCTGGGCCACACTTACCAAAACTGCCCAGTTATTTGTATGTCCACTTCTAAAGAACTGTTCTGCTTGATCCTGAAAGATGAAGACATTAAATGTTTTTCAGTAGTAAGAAATGACCACTCGTTTTTGTTCTTTCCACAAGACAGTGTTCAATGCATATGTTTACCATATTTAAACGCTGAATAAATCTTACAAAAGCTTCAAGAGATAGTTTGTCTTTTTCTATTTTTCATATTTCGTGCAAGTTAATTGCTTTAAATCTTTCCCTGAAATTTGTGAAATAACGAAGGAGAAAGAACTATTAGTCACTTGCAGCTTAGTTAAAACAAAAGCCCACACATCTCTATTCCAAAGGACACCGAGAACAAAATAAAATGATTTATTGACCTACAGTTTCTCCTTTAATGAGAAGAGAGGCTTGCATTAATTTTTATTTTCCTTGTTCATCTCATCTTTCAAAAGCAGCTAAGTGAATCTGCAATTTTAACCCATTTTAAATCCAAGGTGGCTACATTTATCTTCCAAAATCGGAATCTATGATAACAGCCTTCTCTCTAGTCTGTGATCTGCATAGTTCCCACTGGGCTTTGCAAAAAAGGCCCTTTAACAGATTGCATGTATCAGGACACAGAAAGGGGATAAAGACTTTGCAGAGGTAAAGGAGTGAGTCTGTCACTGGACAAGAATCAAGGCTTGCTGATTCTTAATCAGATTCTGATAAATCTCTGAGGGGTACTGGGCTGGTGCCTGTGGTTTCACACAAAACACACAGCAACAGAAAAAGCATTTGTTAAAATAAATGTAAAGCATACTGTATTCCAAGTAGCAAACTGGCAGCTTGATTATAAAGACTTATATTTTATTTGGCTATTTTTTGTTCTGTTTGTAATTAATTTCAAGTACCACAATTTGTAATAAAGCAGAATTCAAATGCAAACAACACTCCAGGTGTAGTGTGGGCACCGTGCAAAAGCACAATTACTGAAATACAAAATTACTCCCACCTGAAACAAACAATCCTAACTCCCACCGCTATGGGTAAATGCATTCTCGTACCTGCGAAAGGGGATCGGGGTAATCAATCGAGCCCAGGTGAGCCCAGGCAGCTAGACGGCCCCAGCACCCCGTCTTGGTCTTTAACCGATGAAATTCCATTCACACATAACTTAAGCCAACAAAAGTCCGGAAAAGTAACATAAAACCCCGACTACTGAAACTTACACTGTGTAGCCAAAGAGAACCTAAGATTCAGAAACTTACAAACGCGTTCAAAGACTGCTTGCTTAACTTTGAACAGTTTACACGAGTTACACGTGCCCGCTGAGCCCCACAGCTCCAGCGATGCGCTGCATTACAGTCCGCACTGTTCTACCACGGGACACCGCCCCCAGCGCCGCACGGGGCAGAGCGGAGCGGGGAGAGGCGACGCCGGGGGAGGGACAGACTGACCCCCAGCCCGGGGTCGGCAGTACGGCCGCAACAACCGCTGGGGAGAGCCGGTCACAGACCGCGTCCGCCGAACCCAGCGCGACCCCTCTGAGGAGCGCCACAAGCGCCCCGGGGCAGCTTAGGGCAGTGGGTACGGGCTCTGCCCGCGGAGAGAGGGAGATGGGGGAAACCAGCAGCATCGAGCCTGCAGGGTATCACAGCGCCTCCCGCCCTCTCTCCCCGCCGGCCGCTCCCAGTAGCTTTTGTACCTGGACACTGCTGGTGAGCGCTGCCCCGCAGCACCCCAGGAGCAGAGTGGCGGCGGCGCGGACCCAGCTAGCGCCGGGCTCCGTGACCGCCATTCTGCCCTGACTCTTCCGGCAGGCCCCGGCCGCCGCAGCCGCCGGAAGGGGAGAAGCGTTTTCTGCGCATGCCCGGTAACTTCCGTGTGGTGGCTGTCCCGGTGGCTCCGGGGAGGCATCCGGGCGCTTGGAAAGGTCGTGTACCTGCTCTGAGGCGCGCCACGCGTTCAGTCACATACCAGAGACCCCTCGGCCTTGCCAGCCTGCTTAGAATTCGGTTTTTACAGAGCTGAGGCAGGGTGGCAGCAGCTCTCACCACCGCCTTGAGCATACGTGTTCATTCTGGCTGTGTCGTGGGGTGTTGCAGCCCTACCCAAACCTTGTCCATCCCTTGGACAGGCCTGGCTGACATGTTAAAGCGCTGTGGCCTTTCATCTTGCCTTTGACCTGGGAGGCTCCTGGGGGGTGTAACAACAGACATACCTCTCAGCTGCCTAGCAAAAACATGCTGGAATCGCTGGGCTTGCTTATAGCATGCCAAGCTAAAGATGACCTCAGGCCTTGGGCTGCAGGGCAAGAACTGCCGTAGAGAGTGAAGAGGAGAGCTGAGGAGAGCGACCACCTTTGGTGGGGAGGAGAGGGGGATCTGGAATTGAGTCTTATGTCAGAACGCCCTGTTAAAGGCTTGCCTTTGGCACATACATCCCTCTGAGCTGATGAATCATCAGATTTTTATTTCAATTTATCGAATCACCTGGTCTTGATTCTTTCATTTCCACTAACTCATCTTGTCACCACCTTTATTCAATTGCCTGATGGCTTCCATTAGTGAAGATCCAGTATCTGCCATGAGCCACGGAAGCTATTTCCTGCTCTGTGTACTTGTCATCAGTAATGACTTTCTCAGACAGCAGCATATTTCCATGTATTGATGTTGGAATTTCAACAACATCGCATTTGCTGTTTGGAAGCATCACTGTTTTCCTCAATAAAAATAATGGCATGTAATTAGATAGCCTTTTTGTGCCTAAGGCCAACGAACTGCCTATCAAAAACTATAGCCACCAACTCATGTTAGGTTCACATCTCCCATGTGAACCTTTTATGAACCAGCTGAGAAGTGCTGTGTCTGTCCCTTGGTGCCTGCTTGTAAGTTCCACTGTTTATCTTCTTGCTCTAAAAAACCAACTGAATTTAAGACTAGGGACAAGCTTAAGTTTTTTCCTTGCCCTTTCAAATGCTTAGGTCTCTGATCATTCTGAGATGTGTTCAAGATGCGTCAGTAATTCTAAAGGATAGGCAGCTATCTTTCAGAGCATGTACTCATGCAGTCTTATAAACTGGTGAGTTGATTTCATGCACTTTGGCTTGGATAGCTTCTCTTACCTGTCAGCTCCCATGTGGAGTTGGATAGATAAAATGTGACAGAAGGTCTTAACTTTGACTGAACTTCTTTCTGTTAAGCTTAGTTCTTTGCTCTTTGCATTTGTTACAGATATTCATCCTTTGGTATCATGCATTCTGGTCAACAGCTTTTCCGATAGAAAAATGTCATCAGCTGTATCCTGATGATACATCTTTGAGTCAGGCATAAATCCTGATGTCTGTACTGAATGAAAAGTTAGGTTAAATGTTACCAAAAGGTAACTTCAGCTTACCGAGAAGCATTCCTGGTGTGAGAAGTAATGAACATATTTTCTGCAAATAACAGTTGAAAACATCTGGTTCACTTAAAAACTGCCAAACCTTGTGAAATTCATGTGACAGGTGACCTTAAGTTTGTCATTCTCTGGAATACTTGACTTTTCGTTTGAATAACATTCTTTTCAGCCCACTGTGTATGATTTGCTACATACAAAAAAAAAGAAATGGAAAAAAAAACCACCAAAATTTTTGTCAAGTAGCACTGGAATAGTGTAAACATAGATTATCATTTATGGGCCGTACAAGCAAACATCCAGTACTTGTGCTGAGTAATTAAGAACTGTAGCAAATTTTCCTTACATGAAAGATCACCTGTATGGGATGAGACATTTGAAATCCTAGGTTTCACCAAAGGTCAGAATAGTTTAAGCACGCTTGTCCAGTCAGTGTTGCTGCTGTTTCTCATGGGTCAGTTCTGCAATCTACAGGAAGGTTTGGCTTGCTCTTGACGTAAAAGTGTAGCTTCAAACTCATCAGTCTTGTGTCACATGCTGTCTGCTGCAGTGTGAGAGCAATGTTTGGATCAACTACAGTCACACTGCAGGTGTTACTTTTAGACTGTAGGTGTTCAGGTCGTATTGCTGTATTTCCATCCCAGGGCAGATACAGCACTGAGTTAGGGCAAGCTCAGTTTCACAAACTCATTGGAATCGTACAAAAGAATGGCCATTATTCCCTCTATTTTATGTGATGCATAATACAGTGTATGGTTCACATTTTTAGATCTGTCTCCAGTTTGCCTTCTGGATTCCTGTAGCCTGGTTGTGTGTATTTTGTAATGGATCTACTTCTGCCTTTTATTTCTTTCATAGGCTTTAGTATTCATCAGACACACAAGTCTGCCAGTGCTTCAGGCATTATTCCTGGAGGTGGTATCATGTCTTCTTTTTTCCCCAGCAAGATTGCACCAAAAGGTTTGCCTGCCTTTTTTTTCATCTTTATTCCCTTAGGCAGCTCTCAGCACAGACTTGGTGTTTGCTCCCATGCCTGTACATGGCTTTTTTGCCTAGAAATTAAGCCCTATACTGTATGCTTCTGGTTCTTCGTTCTGCTTTGTTTTCATGCTGATTGCAGCATTTTTCATGCTCCAAGTCTGTTTAGCTTGACCTTTGCCACGATGTTTCTTGTACCTCATGCTGAGTAATTAGAAAGGACACCAAGTGTGTATCCCAAAATCATCATCATCATGGCTTGACTTCGCAAACGGGAGGGGCTTTAACCACGCTTACTGCAGGCACGCTGATGACTAAAAAGGCAAATCTGGCTACAGAAAGCACAGCAGAAGGTCTCCTCAGGTGGGGCGCAATTCTTTCTGTATTGTCTTTTCTCCTCGAGACTAGTTCTTCATGAACTCACAAAGGAGTCAACATCATTGTGTATGGTGTGCCTCCAACTCTCCCGATTGGAGGCCAAGGTGGACCACTGACGATAGTCAATATGGCCAAGGCTAAGATATTGTTTCAGGGAGTCCTTATATCTCTTCTTTGGGGCACTTCTCTTGCGGCAACCAGTGGCAAGCTCACCGTAAAACACGATCTTGGGGAGATGGTGATCCTTCATCCTAGAGACGCGCCCTGCCCAGTGCAGCTGCAATTTCAGCAATATGGCCTCGATACTGGTGACCCGTGCCTATCCGAGGACAGTGACGTTAGACACACAGTCAGTCCAATGGGTGTTTAGAATTGTACGGAGGCAGCACTGATGAAAGCGTTCAAGGAGTCGCAGGTGATGACGGTAGATGACCCATGATTCAGACCCATATAAAAGAGTAGACAGTACAATGGCTCTATAGACACTGATCTTTGTACTTTTCTTCAGGTGTTTATTACACCAGACTCTTTCATGGAGTTTTCCGAAGGCTCTATATGCCTTTGCTATTCTGTTGTCTATCTCTTTGTCGATCGTGGCATCCGAGGAAATGATGCTTCCCAGATAGCTGAACTGCTGAACTGTCTTAAGCTCTGACTCGCCGATGGTAATATGGGGATGGCGATAATCTTCTTGTGGTGCAGGTTGGTAGAGGACTACTGTCTTCTTCAAGCTGACTTCCAGCCCAAAAACCTCAGCCGCCTCCGCAAAGCAAGATGTTAAACGCTGCAGAGCTGCTTCTGTGTGGGCAACAAGGGTGGCATCATCAGCAAAAAGCAGTTCACGAACAAGATGATTTAGGGTCTTAGTGTGGGCCTTCAGTCACCTTAGATTGAATAGGCTACCATCGGTACGATATTGAATATAAATGCTGTTTTGTTCGTCGAGGTCTGCCATAGCCCTTTGGAGCATCATGCTGAAGAAGAATAATGTGAATAAAGTCGGTGTGAGAACACAACCTTGTTTCACACCATTGGTTACTGGGAAAGGCTCAGAGAGTGCATCGCCATATCTGACTTGGCCTTGCTGATCCTCATGTAACAGAATGATCATTTTGAGGAAGTTGGGGGGACAACCTAATTGTTCCAAGATCAGTCACAGGCCTTTTCTGCTCACAGTGTCAAAAGCTTTGGTGAGGTCAACGAAAGTTATATATAGCCCCTTATTCTGTTCTCTACACTTTTCTTGCAGTTGTCTGAGAACAAATACCATGTCTGTGGTACTTCTATTAGCTCTGAAACCACACTGACTTTCAGGTAAAAGTTCTTCTGCGATAGCAGGTACTAGTCTGTTCAATAGTATTCTTGCAAGAATTTTACCAGCAATGGAGAGCAGAGTTATACCATGGTAGCTTGAGTAGTCTGACTTGACACCTTTTTTCTTATACAGAGTGACCATGATTGCATCACGACAGTCTGATGGTAATTTACTTGTTCCCAACAGCGCACAACTAGCTCATGAAATTTAGCATGAAGTGCTTGGCCTCCATGCTTCCATATTTCAGGTGGGACTCTGTCAACCCCAGCTGCCTTGCCAGTTTTCACCTGCTGTATGGCCTTAAGAGTCTCTCCCATGGTAGGGGCTAAATCCAGTTCATTTTTCACCGGATGTGGCAGCATGTGCTGGATTCCTTCGCCTTGGACTACACGATTAGCACTAAAGAGGGTTTGAAAATGTTCAGACCAACAATACAGGGTGGAGATTTTATCTGTAAGAAGTGTTTGGCCATCTGCACTAAGTAAGGGGCTTTGAACCTGAAATGTGGGTCCGTACACTGCCTTCAGAGCCTCATAGAATCTGCGCATAGTTGAGTCTTTTCTGCTAGGTTGAGCCACCACTTGTTCTGGATGTCTCTAAGTTTCTGTTGGAGTTTGCTACATGCAAGATGAAAGGCTGCTTTTCTTACATGGCAGAGTGACTGAGCGAGGTGTGTTTGATGAGCAGATCTCTTTTTTGTCAGCAATTCCTGGACCTCCTGGTTGCTATCGTCAAGCCAGTCTTTGTTTTTCTTGGAGGAGAACCCAATGGATTCTACGGAGGACTGCGGGATGCT